AGGACATAAATGATGTTTTCTGCCTTTAAATCGATCTGAAGCTCTGTGATTGCTAACAGAAGTCCCTGTACAACAGAAAAAAACAAAAAAACACTTTATAATACTTTATCTGAATGTGTAATATTCATGTTTTCAACTTCAGCTGTGCAGGAGATTAGTGATACACTGGAAATCCCACAATGGTTACATCACAAAATACATTAATAATACAGTTATTCTCAAAATAACACACCTTTTTGGGGTACAATGCAGCATATCTAACAACAGAGCTCATAATAAAGTGTGCATTAGACCAGTGTTTTTCAATCACTGTGCCTCGGTACACTAGTGTGCCGTTAGTGATGGTCAGGTGTAGAAAATCATCCTATTTCACCTCATTGGTCTAAAAAGATTTTTTGATGAGGAATTAATTATCTGCAAATAATATGCCATTTCTGAGTGTCTGTGCTGTACTAGTGACTGGTGGAGTAATCATGTAATAATTCCTTATGACTAGATTTTGTATATAATTTTGTATATTGAAGTGGACATGTTAAGTGCAATTTGATAAAAGAAATATAAGATATGATCAAAATAATTTTTTGTATTTATTTGATTTCTATTCAAGACACTTAAGATAAAATAAGAATAACTATAGTGTTACTATAGGCGGATACATATTTGTTTAACATTTTTGGTTGGTGTGCTTCGTGATTTTCTCTATGAAAAAATGTACATTGGCTCAAAAAAGGTTGAAAAACACTGACTTAGACTGTCTGTAAAGCTTACACAGCACAATACAAACAACAGTAGCTTCCAATAGGTTTCTGCCTCTCATTTTTCTCCTCTTTTCCTTTCCCAGGAGCCCTGCAGGATCTGGACAGAGCTATCAACCTGAGCAGAAACTCGGGGAGAACCTGCTGCCAGGCCCTGGTGCAGAGAGGCCTCCTCCGGAGGTTATTAAACCAAAATGAAGCAGCCAGGGAGGATTTTGAGCGAGCGGCTGCTCTTGGGAGTGAATTTGCGCGACAACAGGCCGTGGTTTTAAACCCGTACGCTGCTCTGTGCAACAGGATGCTCTCAGACGTCATCAACAAACTACGAAACCCCGAAGTGTCCGAGTTTTCTGCTTATTCACCGAGTCAATAAAAAAATACGCTTTGTTTTGATGTACTAATTTACTCCTGTAAAATCAATGCATCCAACAAAAACTCACATTTACAGTGGGGGAAATAAGTATTTGACCCCTTGCTGATTTTATGTTTATGTTTATGTTTATGCATTTGGCAGACGCTTTTATCCAAAGCGAAGGACTTCCGTTTTTTTTTTTTTTAATTAATCAAATGTCCAGTGAGTAACATTTGATTGGACAGTTATAAAGGAATCCAGGTCCAATTTTGCAGGTTTGCCCACTTACAAAGAATGCTTATTTTTCCTCATCAGATGGTTATCAATTTTTATAAATTCAAATTGATGTGATTTTCTGGAATTTTCTTTGGGATTCTGTCTTTCACTGTTAGAATGTACATATGATTAAAGTTATAGATCGTTGCATTCTTTGTAAGTGGGCAAACCTGCAAAATCAGCAAGGGGTCAAATACTTATTTCCCACACTGTATATATCACTGTACACAATTTAAAGTCAACAAGCTCTCTTTTTGTTAGCGTAAATTAAAACCTGGATTCCTGTATAACTGTCCAATCAAATGTTACTCACTGGACATTTGATTAATTAAAAAAAAAAAAAACGGAAGTCCTTCAGTGTGCTGTGACGTCATCCACTGATGCACTTACACCTCTTGTCCACTAGATGTCAGTCTTGTCTTTCTGGTTTTAGAAGGTGCATTTTCTCTTCTTTAAATGACACACTGATAAATTGAATAATTTAGCTAATTATCAATTGAATATTCCAGGTGGTTATTGGATGTCTGAAAAGAAAAACTTGCAAACTACATAATTTAGCTAATTATCTATTGAATAATCCAGATGATGATTGGATGTCTTAAAAGAAAAACTA